CAGAGGGAACAAGGGATCATTTTAGAGTGCCTCTATACAACTCATCAAGCTCAGTCTAAATTAACCATAATTTTACTATGCACTTTATATTCCTCTAAATGAAATAATAATAATAAATTATTATGACTATTATAACTATTATTATTGTTGTTATTGATAAAACAAAGGAAAAATATCAAACAACATGGAAAATTTCTTGGACAAAGAAATAAAAAAGAAGAAATATATGGAAAACCTCAACCTTATGGCCCTTCAAAATGGAGGTAGAATTGCTTGTTTTCAAAGAACGACCCCACGAAGTTTGACATCTAGACATCCGTATAGCTCGTAAAAGTAACCCGACCCACTTTAAGAAAAAGTAAGTGCGATCTGGTATGCCGACATTTTTTTTTCAAGTGTATTCAGTATTAAAATAAAATAAAATAACCGTATCAAAAAATAAAATAAAAGTTATTTCAAAGTAGTGGACGTATCTAAAAAAATAGTTTAAAATACTGAATATATCTAAATATATTTTAAGATACTAGATACATCTGAAAAAACATTTTGAGATGTTAGATGTATTTAAAAAAATACTCCGGGTACTAAATACACCTTAATCTTTTAAAACAATTGTAACCTGTAAAAAGATTTGGAATAAGTATATCTTGCTGCCTTAAAATTAAACAGGGAGAAAAAGGAAAGAGTGAATAGATAATTAATAAAATGATCAATTAACCATTCCTCCAAATGCCTCACAAAAGGAAGCCAGAGAATACAAATCAAATAGTAAGCTCTTCGAAGTAAACAAAAACTTAATAAGCGATGTAAACATTAAAAATCTCTAGCATACTAAACAATTATACACACACATCTTTATGGATTCTGGCAAAAAAAGAAAAAAGTTGCCATTAAATTTTCAAACTTTTCAATCTTGATTTTACATAGTTAGTGATGTTAAGGTACTGTTTCGCACGAGGGAAATAGAAGAAAGGGGAGGAGAAGGAAAATTTTAAGGGAAAATGACAGATAAAGAAGGTTGAAATAATAAAATGCCAGAATGGGAAGCTAAGCAAATGTATTACCAGATAGGGAAGTGTTGCCTGATTTGGGATTATGCAAATGTTGCACAATTACAAAACAGCCCCTGTCAGTCAGCGTTTGAAAGCGGAGAGAGAGAAGGCGCACGCGAACACTCCTGCACTGACCGTCGTGCTTCCCGGTTTCTCGCTTCCACCATCCCCATTGTTGCCCTAAAAACGCCGGCAAGCTGGACAGTTGAGGACCCCGAAATAGTGTGTGCGTAAGAGAGCAGAGGAGTTGGAAGTGGAAGGGCGTGCTGTTCAAAGGGCGAACGTGGTCGCGTCTGACTGATTGTGTGGAAAGACGAAGGTTGGCGCACGGTGATTCACCATTGCAGTTAACAAGCATCAACAGCATTTCAGTGAGGTAAGTTCAGGCATTTAAGTTTCGTGCTGTGGTCGACGTTTCTGGGTGAGTCTGGGAATCAATGATTGGGCAATATTTAGATATGACGCGATGAAGTTTGTGAATGACAGGAATGGCGATTAAGGGTTTATGCTGAGTCGCTGTGGCAAGCTATTCTGTTTTTAATAACGTAGTTGAGAACTGGAAAAATGGGTTTTGAAATCAGTAGGAAAATTGTCTGATTGACTGGAAAAATTATATGAACAACTGGAAATGACAATAACATACTGGTAAATGACTATGATCGAACCTAAAATGACCATATTCATAGTAATGACCTTACTGTCTGAATGAGTGGAAAGATTATATGAATAAACTGGAAATGACAATACCAAACTGGTAAATGACTATGAAGGAACTTGAAATGACCATATTCATAGTAATGACCTTACTGTCAGACTGTAATGGCCATGTTGGTAATGACAATGAATTAAGTGGGAATGACCATATTCATAGTAATGACCTAACTGTTAGTCTGTAATGGGCATATTGGTAATGACAATAAGTTAACTGGAAACGACCATATTCATACCAGCATCCTTACTGTCACTCTGTAATGGCCATATTGTAAATGACAATGAATTAATTGGAAATGACCATATTCATAGTACTGACCTAACTGTTAGTCTGTAATGGGCATATTGGTAATGACAATAAATTAACTGGAAATGACCATATTCATACCGGCATCCTTACTGTCACTCTGTAATGGCCATATTGTAAATGACAATGAATTAATTGGAAATGACCATAACGAATCTGGAAAGAACTAGATGTGTAGTAAATGTATTAAAATTATGATTTAATGATGGTACCTTGATGACTTTGCAGAACTATACGAGATGGTGTTGGAAGAAGGGGAAGGGTCCACAAGTAAAGGAGTCCACAGTGGGCTTGTGTTGTTCAGAAGGGAGTATATGGCTAAACGAGGTGAGAAGTGTAAAAATGCAAGAGAAGAAAAAATTGAAGTGGGGAAGGCATGGAGGGCCCTGAGTGAAGAAGAGAAAGATAGGTATAATGAGAGGGCAAGGAAAACGAAGCCACAGAAAGGTGAGAAGAAGAAGTATGATGTTCCCTTGTACACCCGGTGCTCATTGCCCGGATTTCTATCATTGGCTGAATATGTGAAGAAGAACAGGCGGTTGAGGCAGAAAGTTCAAAGGATGGGATTTGGGAACTTGCTTAATGTGAATGTGAAGCAACTTCCACGTGATCTACTTGTGTCATTGTTGAGATGCTATGACCCACCAACGCATTTTTTGACCATTAGAGGGCAAGGGCAGGCAATTGAGGCAAAAGATGCGCATGAGTTTCTAGGTGTACCTGACAGTGGGGAGGAAGTGAAATCTGATGTTAGTGAGGATGACCCGGAATACAAGAGGTTGAAGGACACTTATTGGAAGGTTCCATTTACCCAGATACTGAAGAGGATATTATCTGGGGAAGAAAGCGACAATTTTGAGTTCCTATTTATGCTTTATACAGTTGGAGCTTTTCTATGTCCTGGGTCAAGCACAACTGTACATATACGTTTGTTGAAAGTGATGCGTCACACGATGAATGGGTTTTGGAAATATGATTGGTCAACGTACATAATCAAGAACCTGTGGAAGGAAATGGGAGACTTTGTGAAGATGACAAAGAAGAAGAAGAAAGGAACCTGCAATGTTGGAGGGTGTCTTTATTTGCTGCTGGTAAGTCAATATTTTTCTTATGGTTCACTATATTTTTGTCTTTTGTTATTGTTGCAGAAGTGTGACCTATCTTTATTTGGTTTTGCAGCTGTATTTTGTTGAGCGTTTCCCGCTGGGATTGTCTGTTGACCGGGGTTCAACAAGCGCCATTGAATATTGGACCGAGGAGAAGATAAAGGAGAGGGTGGAGAAAGAGAGAGGCAGCAGCATGGGAATATTGCATGGAAGCAGTGGCAGCGAGGTATACTCAGCAGGACATGAGGACAGTCCAATTTTGCAGTCTTTAGATCCGGTATGTGGGAACTTAGAAAATATACGTGACCTGAGTTTAAGTCAGTCTATTAGCAAGGTTGATACTTGAGATGACAAGACTTTATTTAGAAATGACCAGTGAGATACTGGCATTTGATAACAGTGAACAATTTTTTTGATATCTTCATTTACTGTGTATGCAGGCATTGAAGGAGTTGAGGGCTCGTTTTGTGAAGAAGCTTGAAGAAAGCCAGAGGACGTTAATGAAGGCTCTTGATGATGAGCTACTCAAACTGCAGATTGGATTGAACGCCAAAGTTAAGGGGATGGGGAATGAGAATGCCACTGCTAAAGAAGGGGTTGAAACAGTTGGTGATGCAGCTGGTAACGATGCTGAAGAAGTTGATGATGTTGACCGAGTGGTGGAGGAGATTGCAAGAGAGGTTGCAGCGGGAAGTGCAGATGAGGAACTTGATGAGGATGAAACCAGCAAAGGAGATGATGAGAAGGATGAGGATGAGGATGAAGAACAACATGACCTTCATGACAGGGAAGTCAGTGATGATTACATGGTTGAGGAGGTGGAAGAAGAGGGTGACCGTGATGGTCATGGAGGTGATGACGACGACGATGAGGATGAGGAGGAAGATGACCATGATGACAGGGAAGGAGGTCATGTGGTTGATGAGGAGGAAGATGACCATGATGACATGGAAGTCAGTCATGATTATGTGGTTGAGGAGGCCGAAGATGATGATAAGGAGGTTCGGGATTCAGATGATGAGGGTGAGGAAGCTACACATGTACTGACAATGACCCCTACCAATGTTCCTTTGCTGTTGGATCGAGAATGGGTGAGCAGTGACAGTGGGGAGGAAGGAGGGCCTGAAAAATCGATTGACCTTAGGAGGTCAACAAGGGCAAAGAGTTCCACAATTAAATCTCCGTGGATAGAATTCAAGGCAGCTCCGAGGACGAAGAGGCCAAAGGAGGAAAGTGACATCTTTTTCACTTTAATATCCCGTAGACCCAAGGGAGAGGAAGAGGGGAATATGTAAGTATATCCGTAGCTAGTGTTTTGTTTTTAAATGACACAGTGTGCCCTGAAAATGACAGCAATAGGATTGAAAATGACAATAACATACATGGGAATGACAAGTATTGATGTCCCCAACACCATACTTTCTGTCACTGACATCTGACAATGTTTGCAGGACTGTCATCAAAATGTTTGATGAAGATATAGACCGACAACAGCTGTTTTCCCTGGGTGGAGTGAACAGAGTAAATAACAGGGTATTTTAGAATGCTCTGTCCCTGCACCCACGATTATGTTTGATAATGTTTGGTGAGATTATTGTACCAGAATGACGTTTTCACTTGTGTTCTGTAGGTGCTTAATTTGGTGTGCAAGGCAGTGATGGAGGACATGAAGGCAGAGTTGGGGCCAGGGAAGAGGCACATTTTCGATGTTGATTTCATGGTGAGGTTGCATAATTCCAAATGCAAATACCAATGACAGCAATTGAATTGGAAATGACTTGTTCTCTGTTAATGGATTAACAATTTCATGTCATGCAGAACATGATGGCACATGATCCAACCTGGAAAGCCCAAAAATATAAGAAGCTCTTTCTTCCTGAGTTCCTTGGCTACAACTTAGCTGAATGTGATTTCATAATTGGTCCTGCTCTTGTTGGCCAACACTGGTTTTGCGTTGCCATTCAGCCTAGCACATTGGATTTCCACGTAATAGACTCCATGAGGAACCATTTCGGAACCAAGGACAGAAAGCAGAAGAAGAAGGTTGTCATCAAAGACCCAGTGGAAATGGCTGTGGATGATTGTGTAAGAAAAAACTCATTATCTTTACCCTAGTTTTTGAACTTGGAAAATCATTAAACTTTCTATGTTGGTCCTGAATGTTGTTGCAGAGGAAGAGGCTCAATATTATACTGGACTTGGTCAAGCCAGGATTGGTTGGGAAAAAGCCAATGTCTCCTATGATATTTGCAGCAGTTCCCCAGCAGAATAACCTGTCAGTTTTGTCAAATTCGATTTCTGTGGGGTAAATGCACATGTCAGATGTGTTAACTAACTGTGCTGATATTGTTGCGTCCACAGGAGGGATTGTGGGGTGCACTGCATGATGTGGCTGAGAAGATGGGAACCTGGTGTGACCCTTACCTACACAGAGGAAGAAGTTGCTGGCTTTCGTCGTGACCTGACATGGTGGTTGGTCAATCATGAACAGAATGAAAAACGTGACGAGGCATTGGCCCTTATTCGACAACCACAACCAACCAAGAGCACAAAGTCCAAGAAAAGGCGTCGGTCTTAGGTGTCTCGATGTTAGGGTCATAATTCACTTGTCCTCTGTTAGATTGCTGTATGTAATGTGCATTGTAGGCTGACCAAAAATTTACTGTGTATTGTTATGGTTAACAGAGATTGGTGTCCATAAATGTATGATAGTTGAGAACCATGATGCCAATTTATTCCCCAGTGACATGAATGAATCTGGTTTTAACCACACAAAAACAGATGATGACAACAACCCCATTGGACATGTGCTATTGGTTTTCATTTTTTGTTCAGGTCACTAAATTTTACTTCAATATATCCTGTTGGTATCCAACAGAAAATGACACGAAGTGAAGCGAATATGACAGCGATAATGACAAGGATCACCTGGTCTGATTTTACAACATCAGTTCAACACGGCTGTCAGCTTATGCTGATAGCATCACTGCCAATGACCAGAACAAATTTAAAAATGACACGAAGTGAAGCGAATATGACAGCGATAATGACAAGGATCACCTGGTCTGATTTTACAACATCAGTTCAACACGGCTGTCAGCTTATGCTGATAGCATCACTGCCAATGACCAGAACAAATTTAAAAATGACACGAAGTGAAGCGAATATGACAGCGATAATGACAAGGATCACCTGGTCTGATTTTACAACATCAGTTCAACACGGCTGTCAGCTTATGCTGATAGCATCACTGCCAATGACCAGAACAAATTTAAAAATGACACGAAGTGAAGCGAATATGACAGCGATAATGACAAGGATCACCTGGTCTGATTTTACAACATCAGTTCAACACGGCTGTCAGCTTATGCTGATAGCATCACTGCCAATGACCAGAACAAATTTAAAAATGACACGAAGTGAAGCGAATATGACAGCGATAATGACAAGGATCACCTGGTCTGATTTTACAACATCAGTTCAACACGGCTGTCAGCTTATGCTGATAGCATCACTGCCAATGACCAGAACAAATTTAAAAATGACAACAAGTAATGCGCCATTAACAAAAGCTAACATCCCCATAACAGTAACTTCCTTTCATGTATTCAACAAGTGGACATTAAGATACTAGCCACACTTAATGCTCCGTTATCACTGAAATAACTATCAGCTTACTTACAAAAAAATGTCTCCACCTAGCTCCTAACTACAACCCCAGTCCCAAAAAAGTTGACAAGGGCGGAGCATACAACTATGTACACCAAAAAATGACCCATCCCCACTGTACTCGAAACTTCATGATGGGTTAGGATTTCTGCAATTCCTCCTTGTGTGTCCAGGCTGGTGGCATCTTCCACAGTGGTATATCCGTTTGTTCTGGAACTGTGATTCATCCCTGTTTACTTTTGGCCTTCCTGGTGGTCGGGATGTCATGGGAGGTAGCAAGAAAACTTGCTCACTGACATTTTCTATTCTATAGTAGTCATTTGGGTGAGGCATGTCTGTTGTTACCACAGGAATCATACTGCGAGCATAGATCTTTTCTTGTGATGACTTTTTATAGCAATTATCAATATAATCATAAACATTGTCCGTGCACAATCTTGATGGCAGCACAAGCATGGGAACAAGGGATCCCCGTCATTTGCCAAGATCTGCAACTGCATTGGTGTAGTCCAAGATCAACCCGATGGTCTCCACGTGATGTTGTCACCTTCACTCTTCCCCCACCATAATTTTCAGCATACATATGGTCAGACCCAGCCACCATATCCAGCACCTTACTCTCTATATTTGGACCAACGCAATTCTTCCATTTGGTCATACCCACATAGGAGGCATGCAGCTTTCTTGCAACTTTATCTCGGTGCTCATAGATCAATTGGGGTACAGTATGCTTTCTCTCATTCACCATCCATGCATTGAATGATTCTGCTATATTGGTTGTAATATTGTCCCATCTTTTATATGGGAACCTACTTTTAGCCCACCTATCTACATCCCCATGATGAATAAGCCAATCAAATAGCCTTGGAGAAAAGGATCTCATGTCATCCATTGCTGCCTCAAATTTCTCATCCGTCCTTGCGTATGCAATTTTATCCAATAAATATAGTGCATCCTCCTTTGATCGGCCATTTGTCCTTGTTTGCCCCTTATTCATTTTCATAACTTCTGAACTAAAATTCTCCTTGATGTGTCTATAACAAAAGGCATGCCTTTGACCCCCAAAGATTGATGCCACTCCTCCGATGATAGCATTGTGTCGATCTGATACAATCGTTACTTCCACAGAACCCAGGATTTTTTTTATCATATAGAAAAACCACGTCCAGTCATCTAGTGTTTCTCCCTTCACAATTGCAATTGCAAATGGCAGCAGCTCGTTATCTGCATCATAAGCTGAAGCTGACAACATTGTCCCCTTGTATGGTCCGCTTAAGTGAGTTCCATCAACATACATAATATGCCTCGCGCCACCCAAGAAACCCTCAATGCATGCCCCGTAAGCAATGAAAACACGCTCAAACCGGTTCCCAATAGCAGTCCATTCAGCCACTGATTTTTCATCTGTTTCCTTTATCCTTTCGCATAGCCATGGTATGAGCATGTATGATTGTTCAGGCCTGCCATATATGTCTTCCAGTGACTTCTCTCTTGCTCTATAAGCCTGTTTATATGTTAGATCAATCCCATACTCTCGTTTCAACCTCTTCCTTATCTCAGAAGTGCGCTTGTCTGCATGATCCCTCATCTCATCAATTATTATTGATGAGTTCAAACTAGCTCTTCCACTATGCATCACGTCCAAGCTATCTTGGGCAGAATGAACATGCCGGTTTATAAATGTCGTCACTCGTAGCACATCACAACTCTTCCCCACATGATTTGCACATAGCTTCCATGGACAACCCTCAACTTTACACCTTATCGACATGAATTCCTTGCTATTCCTCATATACTTGGCCACAAACTTGTTTGCAAGTGCAAACTTGTATACAGACACCCGAAATACATCTGCACTAGGAAAACGTTGGCCCACTCCTGTTAAAAGTCCCCTCCATTCCGCATGAACCATCTCACTACCATCCGTATCTTCAGCTCCGATAGATTTATCCACATTAGGGGGCCCACTTATTTCATCATTGTCACATTCACGAGCATTTTCTTCACTGAGCCAGCCATAATCACAACACAAACTAATGGGAGACGCATCCAGTTCAGTTTGCTGTGACATGCCCATGAATCTCTCTGTTCTGCATTCATAATGACAAGACTCGTTAACACAAATGACAAGAAGAAATTCATAAATGACAACAAATAGTTAGGACAAACTTCCACTTACATTTCTACATTGTCCCTTGGTTGGGGACCCACTTGTCTTTTTTCGGCCACATACACATGACCGCTGTTCCCATTGTATTGAAAGAGGTTATACATTTCAGCATTGTCATGAAGGTCAATCAATGTCTTCTCATCAAAGGCCACTGTGTACTTAATGTCATAATTTCTTCCATCGCCACCAATCCACTCAGATATCATTAGCCTCAATTCATCAAGTGTCAGCCCATCCTTAATGCTTCTTAACCTCACGCCACCTCCATTATATCTCACTTCACCTTCACCATTTGTCACAAATTTCCCCCCCACATGAAAATAACAGAACAGCTCCTTCCCACAAGATGACCCAGCTTCGAAATTCATTTATCTTCATTACCTGCACTGATAACATAACAGAAGTCGAATGATTATATGACTTAATACCATCATCATCAACTTACACGACCAACTTAGGGTTTGACACATTCATGCTTATAATTTGCAACAAAACAATCATTTCTTTCCTGTCCACACTAATGCTTCGTTTTCTCAGAATCAATCCACTCCATTATTCGAATCTCCCTCCAACATTGTCCATTTATCTGACACTAATCACTCTAACCCACTTGTGACGCCATCAAACCCCTCTCCCTCAGTGTTTTTCCTTCCCCGTGCATTCACCCTCTGATCACCGTCCTTCCCCCCACACTTTCTATATACCCACGCCGTCTCCATGCTTCGCCACCCTCTCCACCTCAAAACCATCCCCACATCGACGACATTGCCATCCAACGGGAAGAGGAAAATCAACCGGCGCATAAAGGAGAGGGACAAAAGACACAGGCGAACAATATAGTCACTGGATACTAACCTCGCTTCCGTCGTTCAGTTGTTGCTTCGCGCGTTCATGCTCCCACGTTCGTGGTCCCTCCCAACTTTTTCCTCCAGCTCCCGCCACAACTTCCACACTTCCACCGGTCACTTTTTCGGTTTGCATATGAGGGGCTGTTTTGTAATTGTGCAACATTTGCATAATCCCAAATCAGGCAACACTTCCCTATCTGGTAATACATTTGCTTAGCTTCCCATTCTGGCATTTTATTATTTCAGCCTTCTTTATCTGTCATTTTCCCAAATTTTAATAAGTTTTATTTAAAAAATTAGAGAAGTGGTGTTCTAAAATTTTAATAAAAATAATAAAAAAGGTAACAAAAATTAATTAAAATTTTTAATCCTACTTTTTTAATTTTTTAAATCGAGCTTTTTGAAATTTTCTTTTCCCTCCCCTCTTCTCATTTTCTCTCATACTAAATTAAACCCACCCTGAATGTTATTTTCATCAAACAAAAAAATTGTCATTTTCCTAAACTTAATATATTTTTTCGATTCAATTTGCTTGCTATGTCCTATGTGCCGTTTCTGCAATATCGAGACGTCTAAACCAAGCAGATTTGATTAATTTTATTTTATTACTGTTTGGCCACTTCCTTGGTATACAAGTCTTTGTTAGCCATAGACAGGGCCATGCGACTGCAATAAACAAGAAAATTTCGTGTGAAAGAATCATTAACAAATAAAAAGTAGGACAAAGCGCATTTGAAGACTCGCTTTTAGTTTGCTAGTCTTCACGCGGAGTTACTTTTCTAGCTATATCTTTATTGGTAATAGGCACTCACTATTTTCTATTGTTATTTTTCGAAGAAGCATCCAACTCATTTTTCCCTAGGCCTAAAAAATGAGTTGTATTATGTTTCGTCCGAATCAAAAAAAGTTTTAAATCTGATATATTAAAATTTAACAATTTTGTGATTTTGTTTCTATTTAATCTTTGATTTAAGACCTAATTAAAGAATTGATATTGATATTATATATAAAACTCATTTCATATATTCATTAATTTTTTCTAAATTAATCTTATTAATATTCGCTCAATAATAATCAAATAGTGAAAGAAATGAGAGAATTAAAAAAGATACTTATGATGTTTGAGAAAAAATATATCAGATTAACTAATTTAACCAATATCCTTAATCCATTTAAATTATTTTATTAATATCATAGATAAAAAGTAAAGTAATATATTCGTATTAAAAATTTAATGAAATTATCTATCAAACATTCACTTCCCCTCGCATGGGAGTATTTTAGTGGCCGAGCACCGAGCGAGCAGTGGCGGCTCCAGCGGGCATGAGAGGCGTCCTTATGATACAAACATCGCGGATTGGAACCGTGCTTACAAACGTCTCTACGTTTGCCTACTCAATAAAATAGGACTAAGAGTGTGTTTGGGTTAGCGGTGGAGAAGTAATTTTTTTTTTCAATATGACTTTTACAGAAGTCAGATTGAGTAAAACTTAGATAGGGTAATGTGATTCATGTTTGGATTGGGTTTTAGAAAAAAACCAGTTTGAGAAGTTGAAACTTGTTTAGATGATAAATGTAAAAGTAAGTTTGGATGTAAAATGACTTAAAAGGACATGAATTCTATTAAATAGTACATATCTAATATTAAATATATATATATATAATGTGACTATTTTTTAAGAAGTAAGGAAAATAAAAATTATTAAAAGTAAAGCAATTTAATTTATTATTAGAAAGAAATTATATATATAATGTGACTATTTTAAATAAAGTAATGAAAATAAAATTATTAAAATAAGGAAATTTAATTTATTGTTATAAAGAAATTATATATATAATGTGACCATTTTAAAAGAAGTATTGAAAATAAAATTATTAAAAATAAAAAAATTTAAGTTATTATTAGAAGGAAATTGAAAAATAATAAAATACTTAATTAAATATATGTAATGGATAAATATATAAATTAGAGGTCATACAAACGTAGCATTTTTAACTAAATACATCAAATAACTAATTGGATGCCATGCTTAATACAATTTGGTCTCTGATTGTGTCACGCACATGATTCATTTGTCTTGATCTAGGTAAATTTGAAGAGGATGTCTGACCAGCTTCATCATCATTGTTTTCGTCAATTGTACTTTCAGATTAAGCTTGTATGAAATCTCTATCAGTTTCAGAATTTCTTCGAAAGAAATTATGTATAGCTTTGTAGCACAAACTACTTGGACTTGAGTTTTATACTTGTAACTTGGCATCTTCTCTAAGATGCGAAACTTATTCTTCCACACCCCAAAAGTCCTTTCAATAGTGCACCTCAAACTTGAATGGTAATAATTGAAGACTTCGTTATAATTTTCAAATCCCGGTTGTCGCCTGAAGTCTGGAAGGTGATAGCGCTCACATCTGTACGGACCAAGATATCCTGGTAGAGTTGGATAGCCAGCGTCGACCAAATAATACTTCCCTAATAAATCATGAAATTATGTTGACATTGTGAAATTAATGAAAATATAAAATGAATTCGATATAATTAAAATTGAAGCTAATAAAAATATACCTGGAGGTGGATGAGGGAAATCCAAGGCTGGAGTTGAGACAACAGTGTTAAACACACGAGCATCATGTGCAGTACCTTCCCATCCCGCCAACACAAAAGTGAAGCACATGTCCCTGTCACATACAGCCATGACATTCTGTGTCGGATATCCCTTTCTCTTGATATATTTGTCTTGCTTCGAAAGACTCACCACACATCGTACATGAGTGCCATCAATTGCTCCTATTGCATCATTGAAATATGGCGAATATCGTTTATCGTTTTTTATTTTTGGGTGAGTTACAGAAAACGCAGGATCGAGTGGTTTGATATATTCCCTAGATAGACTAAGGCAAGCCTGTAATACTCTATGAAAATGCCTGCTTGGAGTTTCTCCTGAATGTTAAAACCTTTCTTGAATCATCCTATTACATTGTCCATGACCAACCATGTTCAAAAACATACCAACAATTTCTTCCACTCCCAGATACTTAGAATTTTGTAAACCATGTTTGACCAGTTTAGAGCATAATCGCATGAACATTTCTTTTTCCATTCGAAACATGTCATAACACCGAACTTCATGATCTCACAAAATTTCTTGCACCCATAAATTACCTGTTTGCTGACTAGTTCTTCGTGGCTCTTTGCACACATAAGGCATCACATATTGACTCACCAATACAGCTACCTCTTCATACTGTGTTATGTCTTCATCTAAAAAGGAAATCAATTGAGATTGTTCATCTTCCTCCGACTCCTCTTGAGACTATTCATCTTCCTCCATCCACTCAAACGTAAATTGATTGTTCCAATTTGCCATAGATAATGTCACCTGTGAGTGTGGTTAAATTCAACTGTAAGAATTTTTTTAAGCGACAAATAAATATTTTTAGGTATGTGACAAATAAATATTTTTTCGCTGTTAAACATGCAAACACATAAAAATTAGTCTAAAAACATTCATAAGTTGCAATTATCACTATAAACAACACATGTAACTTAGAAACATTCAAAAACATTCATAATCAATCAACAAGTTACATAATTTCATAGTTCCACAAACATTAACTTAAAAACATATAATAACAACTCTGGTCCGAGTTAGACAAAATAAAGTCATAACATGCATCCTAAAATATAGTTCAAGCAGGGGGTTTTAGCCATGCTGATGGATTGTATGCCATATCCTATAGCCATACAACCAAGTATTCTGGCTGTCCTTTTAGTGAAACAACCATTTCCCGAACACTCTTGTGCAGCAGAAGTCTTAAGCACCGGTTTCAAAAATCAAAGTTACTTGTAATTTCTTCAAGGCAGAGCACTTCAGCTGTAACCTCAGAAATTGATACCTCCTTTATTTTGTTTAGAACTACCGTTCTATCCTTAGATGCGGTAGCTATTTCACTAACTGAATCTGTGATTTGTCTTGAGACTGGAATTTTTTGCTTTTTCTGCCTACTAGACACTTCACCTCTCTTCCTCTTCCCATGGCTTCCTGAACCACTAGGTGCAGTATTTGCTGTTAGGTTTACGCCTGCCATCTCATCTGTAACTCCTAAACTACCACCTCCAAGATCTTCTTCGCTATCCCCCGATCCTTCAAGTAGATCTGTATCAACTCTATACACGTTCTCTTTGTCATCCTCTTGTGTCTGAGGTTGGGTTAAAGATGGTGCCAACATATCCTCTCCAGATGCTATCACACCCTTGAATATCGTGTTTAATTCATGAGCAAACTTTAACCCCTGATATCTAAACTTTTCATACTGGGGATTCTCCTGCAAGAATACAATCTAGAAAAATGAAAGCCTATAACAAGTAATAACACAATTCATAACTTAAGATTAACAATTATATACCAATTTTTTCTTCTCCCACCATTCATTTGTTGCCACCACTGTATTGTTTATAGGGTCCCAACCTATATCGGTCTCTTTGGTTAAATCAACCCATGTCCTCCAATCCTTCCTCAAGCTATTGAGCCTATTTTTCAATTGCTTCCTCTCATATGATTTTCATGTTTTTGCATTGAATGCATAGTGAATATTATTCCACCCAGGCTTTGAAAATGATGTTCCTTGATGATTTTTCCGGTAGATTTGCTCCATGCATTCTTTAAGTAACACCTCTGTGGTGCATCTATCCCATGTTGCCTTACCTTTATCTTTGTTCATAATTCTATTGAAAAATGTTAATCAAGAATGCAAAAGGGAGTTATAGTAAACCAGAGCACTTTTTTTCCAACAACGCAGAAATATTATACAAATTCAACAATCTTAAATAAGAAGCACTTTACAAAAAACTTCCCGAGAGGGGGACACCTAAAAAGATGTCATCTTTGGTCAAGTTTCAAAATTCCTTTTACGTTTCTCTTGTAAATAAATATGAGAGGAAATATCTAATATATATATATATAATATTTATGAATTATAACCTCAGAATCATATATATTTAGGTTTGTAAAACATACTCATCAACAATAAGCATCATTGATGAATATATACGCCACTTTTTAGAAACACCGATAAATAGAAACACTGATCTTCAGATTTTCAAACTAAAAAACGCCAACTTTTCAGAGCTTGTCACAAATAATTAACAGGAAAGGGGTAGTCAAACCACAAATCATCAATAGAAGAATCAAAGACCAGCAGTTCTTCCTCCTACGATACTACCAAGTCATACTACCAAATCAGTTCTTCCTACTATGCTACTACTAAGTTCGACAGCCAGGCCACATTAATCGAAAGAACATCAGATCAAGAGCAAGAATATCATATCAACACTTCTAAAATCAATAACGCTATGGGTCCGAATTATCTAGTAATGGCAGCCAAGAACATGAATCGAAGACCAGCAGATCTAGGACCAAAAACACATATCTCTTACCAGATGAACAAACGAGACTCTAACCAATATGGATTAGGAGCAGATGCGATCTAGCGGCGGTGAAAACAGACAGACGGCTTGCAACAAAACAGAGGAAGAAGACAAACAACCCAGTGGTATTTGGAGGATCTGAACGAACAGCCACAGTCCACCCACTCCCACAAAAGAACCAGAACTAATGAGACGGTGGAACACGGCGGAGACACGGCAGGAGATGACAGCGACAACGGACGGCGACCCTAGATTGCAACTGAACAGAGGGAGAAGAAGAACAACCGAACATATTTGGAGGATCTAAATGAACGGCCACAGTCAACCCACTCCCACACAAGAACCAGAACTGATGAGACGATGGAACACGGTGGAGACACGGTAGGAGACGGCGGCGACAATGGACGGCGACGCTGGCTTCAACCGAACAGAGGAAGAGGAAGAACAACTGAACTAATCGGAAGAACTGAATGAACGACCACACTCCACCCACTCCCACACAAGAACCGAAACTGATGAGATGGCGAAGACACGATAGGAGACGGTGGGCGCATGGCAGGGATATGGTAGAAGACGTCGCAAGGCTCCCTTTAGCTTTAGATCGCGTTTCAAAATGAGAGTGCATGTGTCGTTTTTTTTCTTTTAGCTAAGTGAGAGAAAAATCATGCAAGAGGGTCAGGTAGGTAAAAAAATTTAACACCCTAATAAAACATTCCAACGGTTTTCTCAACGCACCAGCATCCAAAAAAAAGCACCCGAAATCAGCTTCTCCCAGAAGTCCATCTGCGCCTCAGAAGTCAGATTAGCCTACTGTGGATCCAAACATGTTAAAAACATAGACACATAAGAAGCCAGATGGGGATGCATGTTTGGCGGCCCAAACGTGATCCTAAATCGGCCCTAATTTGGTGATAGTAATGATGAAAGGAGATTAATGGAGCCAAACACCTATTTATTTATATCCTCTTGCATTTCTCTTTAATTTTTTTTAATTATTTTGTGGTGTTTACTTCATGTGATCCAATTGAATTTGGAGTTAAAAGGGTCTTGAGACCTGAAAATCATCTTATAACGCATGATACGCTTACGGTAGTCGTGATCCTCCAAGGGAGAGCCAAAAGAGAGTGTCTCTTCTCCCCTCCAATTTCTTAGTTAACTATGTCTATTTTCTGACTTATAATGGTTCTGAGTTTTTTTCCCTATATATTTTCTATACCCTTTTTTTTTTAAAAATTGTGTAACTCAAGATTTCCTTTCATGATTTTGGACTTGAAATTAATTTCTGTCAAGCCGAAAATGTTAAGGTTAAAATCTTTTCAACAAGTGTATTTTTTACAATTTGAACTTGTATCCTCGTCCTAAAAAGGGTATGACCGCTTAACATTTCAACTAATAGCTTGTTGGTTTCTATACCCTATTTTAACTGATGTTCTTTATCCATTTTCATAGTTCCCAATTGAACATGTAAATTAATTCGTCATCCTTAATTTTGCTGTTTGGATTGAACCAAAGTTACCTGGTTTTTTGCATTCGTTGTGGAGATATTGTCATGCTTTGGCTTCTAAATTTCTTTATCTAGAAATATTATCTCCTGAAAAAAAAAATTTCAAAACCAAACAGCAAAACACAGACCTCTACTCCAAATCAACAAAAAAAAAAGTGTATTTTTGAGCTTAAATGACAATTTATTTTTCCAGTTACATGTATCATCTTATTGAAAGTAATCGTATCCAAGATACTGTCGAGCTCTAAACACAAACACTTGTCTTAGTGAGAGTTCAAACTGTGATTTATCATGTGAGAAACCAGCTTATTTTGTTAAACACAATTTCTGTTGGACAAAATGACAACTCATAACAAACCAACTACTCTGTTTTTTTTTTTTTAGCCCTTTTCCTATCGTTTGTTTCTTCTATCTCTAAAGCCCACCAAAAAAAATAAAATAAAATGAACACTTAGCCAACAATAAATTACTCAATAACATTTAGTCAAATTTAAACAAACAACCCAAGGAAATTCGACAAAAATGGGTCAGTCCAACACACTAAAAAATTTGTGCCCATCTCAACCAATTAATATAACCAATTCAAACACTTCCATCTTTCCCGTGTGATGGGCCATAATCAAGTCTGCAGGATCTCAAAGTCAAGAAGGAAAAATTAAACCTTCTTGATCGGAATAATAATGCACCTTGCCGTTCTTATCAATTAGAATTTACATCAAATTGAAAGCATCATGAACACCACTCTAGTCCTTATTATAATAAGTTACTTGTGGAGAAAATTTTTGTCCTAAATATAAGTAACTTGTAAGGCATATGATCACTGTTTTTTTGAAGTTTATCCTTACTTAACTCTCATAGTCATTGGAAAGGAAAAAAGAAGGGAGAGAGATCAGAATCAATGAATGATTGATTTGTAAAAACAAAAAGAAAAGAAAACTTTAATAAGAGTAAATTTGAAAAATTTTGCCAATTTAACAATGAGTTTTAAAGTTTTTACTTGGTCTGATGAATTAATATGACATATGGTCTTGATTTGAAGATAGTAATTAATGGGAAGGGGTTTCTCTTTGTTTAATTGCCGTGGTCTCCTCTGCAGCCAAAACGTCCAGTGTGTTTGTCCACAATGGGTGATCTTCTACTGCAACCAGTGACCTCGGAGAAGCAACAGCAAGGGCATATTACTTGTGCGTCACATATATAACGCCAGAAATGATTTGGAAAAGCAATGTTCTATGTAGGATTTAGATATTTATTTTGGAAGTTCTCAAAAAATGAGGTTGCTCTTAGAAAAAGTGTTTGAAGGATCATAACATGCAGGTGGATACAAGAATCTAACTCTGAGTGAACAAGGCTAAAGTCTATCTCTTCTCAAGCTTAAACAGCAATAGCTATCAGTTTAAGCGGAAAAGCCTGCGTATTCTTATTCTAATTCTAATGTCCATTGGAGCTTCTCTTTTCTTCTAGCTATCTGGCTATGCAGGAGGATGCAAGAACACATGCAACAAGTGTAAACATGAAAGTCAATCAATGGAACATCTCTCTGTACACTATGATTTTGCAGTGAATATGCAATTATTTTATGGCTTGGTCATTAGATTTGTTAACTAACAGTGCGGAGGAGGTAACATTTAGAAATGGCTGCATTGATCATGGGAGAAAAAGGGTCACCTGCAGGTAATTTAGTAATCCTTCAAAAGTGTCAAGTGCAATAATAATCCAATATTATATGTTTTGCCATTACTGAGGTTTTGGAATCGGTAACCAAGAACTTTTCATCCTATTTATCTATGCCCCTCTATATCAGTGTATGTATTTTTGGTTTTTTTTTTTTCCCTTTTCTGTTTTTTGCAAAAGAAATGACATTTTCACCCTAAAAACTTAGAAAAGCTAGTTATTAAATGCATTAAGCATAAAAAGAAGCTTCTTTACTATTCTAATTTTAAGTAGAAATTGGCGCGAAACTGTAATTTTATGCAAAAGAGCGAGATTGTATTTAAATTTGTTTTTTTTAGTGATATTTCTTCAAAGGAATGTGACGACGAGTTAATTAAAGTTAAATTGATGGGGGAATCAATTGTAGCAAAAGTGAAGAGATATTTTGGTGCAGACACTTATATAGGGTAAGAGTAGGCAATAATTGATTTCTATGAGAGCCACATTGCCTTTTGAGAAAAGGATTAGTGTCTCGATTGCATGACAAAGATCTAAATCTAATGGTGAAATTACTCGTAAGCCTCTCAATTTTTGTGATATGAGCCTTTCGTCTTGGAATACATGCAACAATATTACTGGAACCTTTGATGTGCTGTGTTATATATTTGTGTTTGTTTATATTTCTGTCTCCTATACTTAATATCAGAGTTAATCAGAAATTAGAATACCTTAATTTATTTTATCTTTTATTTTTTTTAAAAAATCCTTATTGATTGTGAGAAATTATCACTAAAGGATAATTATAATCGACCTAATACATATGATTAAAGATAATAGTTTAAAAAAATTAACACTGACGATTATTTAACTTAACTAATTTTTTTAATTAATATCTTCGAATTAGTTATCTAATAGCTATGTTAATGAGTAGTATATCCTAAAGATGCAGTGCATAAAACTATTTTGAATCCAATAAGCTTTTGACTAATCTAGAGGATTGCATTACACCCTTTTGGCGTTGAAGGCTTTCTTTAAAACTTCGGCATGGCTGCTCCATCTTCACTCCTGTTGTATATATTTCAACATAACAAGCTTGTCCACTTGATTGAAAAAAGTGATATACCTAATTACTTACTTTTCAACATATAATCCTTTTGAGGATTTGGAATTATAAAAAGAAAATAAAATAAAATGACACCACGATATATAGAGGTTCAGATTCAAAAAATTGAATCCTACATCCTCTCCCCAAGCATGAAACTTGAGAATTTTCGTAAGTAATGAATATTCACAATACATTATACATAGCTCATCCTCCTATCATGTACACACCAAACCTAAAAAGGAAAAAAAAAAAAAAGGAAAACAATGTACAGATGCATAGCACACAGTCACCAACAAGCATCTTCAAAAGTGAAAAAAAAAAAAAAATTGATGCAGACGACTCACACAAAGGACAGTCCTAGCAAATCAGAGAATTTTTGTCAAGAAGCCAAGATGATGGATTTCTTCTGAGTGCATGTTCGAGTCTGCAAATCCCTCTCTGTCCCTCTTGCTGATGCTACGATTTAAGCGTATGAAAGGGAAGTTCAGAGACAACACAAGAGATATAAAAAAAAAAAAAAATGGAAATGGCAATCCATTATCCTCAAGTAACTTGCTAATAAGTTAATCAAAACCAAAGCAAATATAGGACAGAATAATTGAATAAGCAGATTACCAGAGAAAGAAGAAATCAAAGGCTCTGGTTCAGTTTAAACCTCTTCAGAGCAAGAATGAATACATGAAGAATCTTAATTAGAGCACTACACTTTGAGAAGAAGAAGAAGCACCCTGTGTTTCCTTTATCAATTAGAACTAACAGACCATTTTGGACTCTACCTGCAACAATCCCATAAGAAGAAAAACTCAATCAAACTAAGATTAATTATCCAAAAAAAAAAAACAGAGAAAGAAATGGTATCTGTTATATAGATGGGAATTTGTCAAGAAGTATACCTTCATGATTGAATAATGTGGAGCGGCAAAACACCTCATACTAAATTTGAGACCTCAGCCCTGCATAAATTTGAAGGAATGAAATTTTAAATATAATGGACAGCGTTGAGATCGTTAACGTTTCAGTGCAGGATATGTAATTAAAGTGGCTATGAAAATGAATTAATGCTTTGAAGCACATCAAATGTTTTCTAGAATTGCATCATTATATCCTGTCATCAAATATTCATAATAATTTAATTTAATATAAACACACGAGATTGCTACCTCAATTTAATTCATGAAGTTGCAAATTATAGTCATCTGAATTTCATTAGGAAACTAACACAACAGAATATAAAATTGCTAATTAACTATATATACAACATATTATATCACAAAAACACAGTAATACCAATTGTAATTGTTGTTCATTTTCATCATTCGAGCTCATAAAAAATGATTTTGTCAAGATGCAAATCAGCAAGGAGCATTTTCGGTTCAGGTTTTAAAAAAATCGCACATAATTGGTGCGCAATAATTTCTAAAACAACAATTTTTAAATATATCTAAAGATGGTAATCATACTGTTTTTCTCAATATATTTATATTAATATATAGACACGATGAAAAAGAAACCAAAAAACAAGGCAAAGAAAAATAGCCAAAGCAGGTTCCAAAAAACAGAGAGGGGAAGAGAGCGTGCTGGAATCCGAAGCACAACAAAACGAATAATTTTGTTAATATCATATAAAATTGCCAAAAGGTTAACCAAAGGTAAGAAGCGGTTCCAGAAATGTAAGAAAATTAATATTGAGAAACATTTATATGGAGGCATAATGGTCTCTGGATGCATTTATATGAACAAGCAGAACATAATACTTGGGAACAAGATTGTGGACATATAAATACCTTGTGGATGATTTTATCCCAATCTATGTGGATGAGTGGGATGTGGGATATCTGGCGCAAAAATTGTTCATCCTTATTGTGGTATTTTTCTTTAAGCAATGGACAATCCCAAATGCGAAGCTCTGTTAAAGAAGCAGGCAGCTTTTCCCCTGACATTTTCTCCAGCTTTGGACAAGATTGGATGTTTAGTTTTTGGAGAGAGGTTAGGTGCTGAAGTCCCGAGCAATTCAATGTCTCCAAGTTCCTAAAGGCAAAGAATCCCAAAGTGGTGAGAGTGGTAGGAAGAAAACACACCTCTGGAAAACACTTGACGACATAACTTTCATCACGTGGACTCGCAATACGAAGGTCAGCGATATTTCTTAGGAGGTGCCGCACTGCTTGATCGGACATTATGAGCTCCATGTTACACGAATGAATATAAATTTCTCTCAAACTCGGCACAAAAGCCCCTTCTGGAAATCCTTCCATCCCTTTAACATCAAATATCCATAGCCTTCTTAAATTTGGGAGGACACCTTCCATTTCATCTGACATAAACTTCACAAAACTACAACTGTGAATTTTAATAGACCGGAGACTTTGAAGAGGAGCGGTTGAACTCATCACAAAATCAACATTTTTGCAGCTGTATACACTTAATTCTTGTAATGATTGGGGCAAATGAATCATTAAAGTTGATATATTGGAACAATCACGGATAGTTAATTCTTGCAGATGGGAATGTTTAGCGAGTGCCTCCAACACTGATTCCAACACCCGGCATCCTGAAATTTCTAAAGCGCGAAGGGCCTGTGGTAACTCTGGCTCTTGCCATGCCACATTTTCACTTTTATATATGTGCAAATACCGAAGTTTGGGACACCTTAGAATATGAGAAGAAAGCAATGAACAATAAGAAATAACCAAAGTTTCTAAAGAAAGCAACTCGGAAGGTAGACTTCCAACTAACTTGTTGCAGGAACTTATTGTGAGACGTTGAAGCTTAGGGAAAGCTTCCATGTCAGTGGAAAGCCATTGTTCCCAGGATGCCATGCTATGGAAGTAAAGATATTCAAGGGATGGAAATGGTTTCATGGAAGAACAATCATCAGCCTTCAAAAACTCATCACCAATGCTTTTTACACGCTTTAATCCATAAATATGTAATGTCTTCAGAGCGGGGAGCTGTCCCAAAGGGGGAAGCATGCAACAATTTTCACAACCCTCCAGTCGCAAGAAGGTCATGTTATGGTAGGAAGGATTTCCCAACCAATCTGGAAATATTGTGCCCCTATAACGTTTAACTGTCAATTGTTTTAAATCCCAATGAGGTTGAAGTTTAGCCAAAATATTTCTCTCACTGCTTGAATCTTCTGCATCACCAAAATCTGACCATGATAATGTTAAAGTTTCAATTCGCTTCTTCTCCATCATTCTCGCACCATCTGCTTCATCTTCATTCTTGACATTCTCTAACTTACTAACTACAATCTCACCCTTCAAATTTGAAATTCCTCCCAACTCCGTAATCCCAGTCTCCTGCTCTTTGCCAACAATGAAGCCACTTAAAAATTGCAAATCTTTTAATTTACCCAGCCCCCTTGGTATTTCTTTCAAATTAGTGCCTCTAACGTCGAGATGTCGTAAATTTTTAAGTTCTTGCATATCACCTGGTAGAATTAGGAGAGAATTACATTCACGCAGCTTCAATGTCTGTAAATTATACAATTTACAGATTGAATCAGGCAAACTTGCAATGCCTGTGCCAGATAGATCCAAATAGCGCAAATGGACAAATTCTCCAATTGACTCAGGAACTATCTTTAAAGTACGTAGTTGGCTAAGTGACAGCGTCCGCATGTACTTCAGGTCTGATGATAAAATATGAGAAGCATTTTCAGAAGGCCCAGGAATATAGGAAAAATTCAATCCTATAAATGTTCGTAAGCCTTTTAATTTTTGGAAAACCTCATGATCTAAGCTTGGACGATTTTGAAAGTTGCATGACAAATGGCGAGTCATGGTGCCAATTTCGTTTCTATTCTCCCTTAATCTAAAGTAGAAGTCTTCGGCAACATGAGTTGCTAACTCATGAATGAGATCATGCATGACAAAACGCCTATCACTTATATCATACCCTTCATTGTATGGATGTTTTACAGGAGGTAAAGGTTGAAAGAATGATCTTGAAGTTAAATCATCAATATACCCATAACCAACTTCTTCTAAAGTCATGTTCCCTTTTGACCGCCCCAAAAAACCTTCTGCCATCCACATCATGATTAATTCATCCCTATCAAATATATAATCCTCGGGAAATAAAGAACAGTAAGCAAAGCATTGTTTTAAATAGGGAGGGAGATAATAATAACTGACTCTTAAAGGGGGGATGATCTCATTGTCTGATGAATCCCACAAGGTGTCTTTTAATATATCATTCCAATCTTCAAATCTAGGCTTTGATCGAAAAAGTCCCCCAATTACTTTTGCAGCTAAAGGTAATCCTTTGCACTTGCTAACAACATCTCTTCCAATTTTTTCTAAACATGAATTCGCGGTTGAATCTCTAGAATGGAAAGCATGTGCAGCAAAAATTGACAAACAATCTTTTTCAGACAAGCCTTCTAGGGGATAAGATGATGAGATTGTTTTAACCATCGAAGCAACATGCTCTATGCGAGTTGTGACAAGAATTTTACATCCCTCCACTCCGTTATGAAGCAACTTTTTCAAAGCATCCCAATCAGTGAATTTTTCATTCCAGTAATCATCTAGAACAATTAAAAACTTTTTCCCTTCTATCTTCTTCGCTAGATGATCGCCAAGAAGATTCAAATCCATGTTATCACAGACAAAATCTTTATCAATAGATTTTATTATAGTCTGTACTATTTTCAAAAGATCAAACGTTTCAGAAACACAAACCCATGCAGTGAGATCAAATTTTTGTTTCACGTCTTTATAAACTAAATTAACTAAGGTGGTTTTGCCCACCCCGCCCATGCCCACGATGGGGATTACGGACAACGGACCACCCTCACCATCAAACATAAGCTTAATTATATCTTCTTTTGCTTTATTCCTTCCATACACTTGAGAGACTTCCACATGAGATGTAACTGGAGGCCTCCAGGACAAAGTTTCCGGATACGTTTCAGTGCTCTGCTTCAGGTCAAGGACATCTTTGTTTCCCACAATACGTTCAATTTTATCACTTATGGCTTCTAACTCCCTTGCCATCCTTGTATCACGCAAAGTAAGAGAAGCAAGGGAGAAATAGCTCACCTTTTTCTGAGTGGCAGCTCGGGTGGAAATTTCATCCATCAAGTCTTCCAGGTCATAGACAGCATCTTTGAGTAAATTCAGCCAATCTTTCACAGCTTGATCCTTATTGAATTGTCTGAGTTCAGCGTTATTGAGCACAGCTCTTGCAGCAATCAAGGATGGCCTCAAATGATTAAGTAACTTGTCGTCCAGCTTCTTTCCTGCGATTTTGTTGATCAAATCTGCGAGCTCAGGCGTTAATCTCTCCAAAAGCACATTGAAGACAGCTGAGAGAAGAGCTTCGGCCATGATCGCTTCGGGAATGAGTGATATTTCTGAAAACAGTGAAAATGCTCGTGCACAGCAAGTGAGATGAAATAAGAAGGGCGGCCTCGACTAAAGTTGAAATTGAAGAATTTTAATTATTTTCATGCGTTAAATAGATATATATATATATATATATATATCTTAGTTCAGATGGAACAAGTGATCATTTTAGAGTGCCTCTATACAACTCATCAAACTCAATCTAAATTAACCATAATTTCACTTGGCACTCTTTATTCCTCTAAATGAAAAAATAATTATTATTATCGGTATTGATAAAACAAAGGAAAAATCATCAAACAACATGGAAAATTTCTTGGCCAGAGAAATTAAAAAAAAAAAACAAACGTATGGAAAACTTCAACCTTATGGCCCTTCATAATGGAGGCAGAATTGCTTGTTTTCAAAGACGACCCCACGAAGTTTGACTCTTGGACATCTCTGTAACGTGTAAAAGTAACCCTTCGTAATGAAGACTCACTTTTTGTTTACTGGTCTTCACGCGGCTGCACTTTTCCAGCTGTACCATGCGACTATTTTCTATTGTTATTTTTACAGGAAGTATCCAAGTCAGTTTTCCCATTCATTTATTGAATAGGACTAAAGGAGTATTTCTCGTTCTTTTTTTTTTTTTCCCAAGTCACCTGTGATATGTTCATCCGAGTAAAAAAAAAAAAAAATTTAAATCTGGTATATTAAAATTTGACAATTTTGTGATTTTGTTTCTATATTTAATATCCCCATGATCTTTGATTTAAAACCTAATTAAAGAGTTAATATTGATATTATATATAAGACCTATTTTATATATTTATTAATTTTTCTCAAATTAATCTTATTAATATTCTCTCAATAATAATCAAATAGTAAGAAAAATGAGGGAATTAAAAAAGACACTTATGATGTTTTAGAAAAAATATATTAGATTAACTAATTTAACAAATATTATTAATTTATTCAAATTATTTAATTAAATCTTATATTAAGGCCGGAAAGAATATATACTTTTTAAGAAAACAATAATGTATATGATAATAATCTAACTATGACACGGCAAAAAAAAAAATCTAACTATGACAAAAGAATCATTAAAAAAATTAACATGATTAGTCTTTGTTTACTTACCCTCGGTCGTTTCAGCTTTTCTTCTTTGAAACTTCCTTAGATGATCGCTAGGAAACAAACCAGATAGGCGGATTATATTTTAATATTTGGTCAATACTGGCAAAGATTCGTCATCCTATAGGTCTACAAATATAGCAAAAGATTTATTATTTAAATATAAAAAATAATAGATTAGTGACTAGTATGTGGACCGACCAAATCCAAATAATTGTAGCAAGTATTCTATAAAAAGTATTTCGATAGAAACAACATCATGGTTTTAAAAATATTTTTACAGTATATGAAGTAAATATGTCGAAGAATTTGTTTCGATTTATAGAAAAGTGCTTTTAAAAATCATTTTTCTCCTAATCCAAACACCTCTTAAATATGACAAAAGAAAAATGTTAATGTGAATGCATATCTGGTGCTCCAGAATATCCTTCTCTAAGTTGAAATAAAAAAAAAGTTTCCATTTGATATAAAAATAAGTGTCATTAAAATAAGAGATTAAGAATTTTAATTATTTTCATGCGTCAAACAGAGATATATATATATATATATATCTTAGTTTAGACGGAACAGCTGATCATTTTAGAATTGTATAGAGTTCTATACAACTCTAAATTAACCATAATTTCACTTTGCACTCTTTATTCCTCTAAATGAAATACTAATGAAAAATTATTATGACTATTATAAATAATAATTATTATTGTTGTTATTGATAAAACAAGGAAAAATTATCAAACAACACGAAAAATTTCTTGTCCAAAGAAATAAAAAAGAACAAACATAAGGAAAACTTCAACCTTATGGCCCTTCACAATGGAGGTAGAATTGCTTGTTTTCGAAGAACGACCCCACTAAGTTTGGCATTTAGACATCCTTGTAAATGGTAAAAGTAACCCGATCTATTTAAGAAAAAGTTAACGTGATGTAGTATCTCAAAATATTTTTTAAAATATATTTAGTATTAAAGTAAAAAAATATTTCAGAGTGCTAAACGTACATAAAAAATATTTTAAGATATTAAACATATCTAGAATATATTTTGAGATACTGAATACATTTGAAAAAATATTTTAAGATATTAGATGTACCTGAAAAAATATTTCTGATGTAAAAATACATCTTAAACTTTTAAAAAATTGTAACCTGTAAAAAGATTTGGAATAAGCATATCTTTAAAAGTTTTCTACTTTTCTATAGCAGCAGCAGGGAGAAGTTTTTTATTTTGTCCTTATTAAATGTATCCTTAAAAAATTTTATGCTTTGCCGCCTCAATATTAAGCAGGGAGAAAAAGGAAAAGGTGGATAAATAATTAATAAAATGATCAATTAACCCTTCATCCACATGCCTCACAAAAGGAAGCCAGGGAATACAAATCAAACAGTAAGCTCTTGCAAGTAAACAAAAACTTGGGCCCTATTTGGCAGAGTGCTGGAAATTCTCTATAAACTAATTTCACGCAATCCGAGATAAAACTCTTATATGCTTATTTCGTATTTAGTAAATCACTATTGAAAAGTGACTTATAAGCTGTTCTAAATGAGCAATCCGCGATGAATAAGCATTAAAAATCTCTAGTATACTAAACAACACACACATCTTTATTGATTCTGGCCCCAAAAAAAAAAAAGAATAGTCGCCATTAAATTTTCAAACTTTTCAATCTTGACTTTACATAGTCATCAGTGACTCTAAAAGACTGTTTGGTATAAGGGATATAGTGGGGAGGAGAGAAGATTTTTGATGAGTTTTATTTAAAAAATTGAAAAAAAATGAGGTTTTAAAATTTTAATAAAAAAGTAATAAAATTAATTAAAAACTTTTAATCCTATTTTTTAATTTTTTAAATCGAGTTTTTTTTAAAAAATTTCCCTCCCCTCCTTTTATTTTCTCTCATGATAAACTAAACGCACCCCAAATGTTATTTTCATCAGACAAAAAAATTGTCATTTTCCTAAACTTAATGTATTTTATTATTGTGTAGCCACCTGTTTGGTATACAAGTCTTCGTTAGTCATGAGCAAGGGCATCTGAATGCGATAAATAAGAAAATTACGTGTCAAATAATCATTGACAAACAAAAAGGGCGACAGGATGGTCCCTCCAAATTGAAATTAAACATGAAAAGTCCTTGAAATCATCACATTAATCTAAAGTTTTCAATAACCTCACTCCAAGAAATTTTATTTGTTTAATTATTAAATTATTCTTTTTTTTTAATATACATTGACGACTGATAAAATAATCATTAACAACTTTAAACTTAATGATTAACAACTATCATGGCAGATATTAACAACACATTTTCTCAACACATCACAAAAATATAGTGCATGAGTTGTTAATACCTGTCATTATTAATTATTACACCTTAAGTTGTTAGCGATGGCTCTCTCAGTTGTCAATGCATACTTAAAAAAAGGGAAAAAAATTTAGTAATTAAAAAAATAAAATCTTTTGTAATGAAGTCTTTTGGAATTTCAAATTAATTTGATGATTTTAAAAGATCTTTTTATATTTAATTTTTTGGAAGGAATCTTATTACAATTTTCTCTAAATATAAAGAGTATGATACTAACTTCTATCTTAATTATAAAGACTTTATTTATAATTTATAAGTAAAATTTTATAACAAGTACTGAATGAATGTAGTATATTTTCATGAATGATTGAAGATAATATTAAGGAAAAGGAGGAGGACAATAATCCAGTGGTGTAGGGCCTACGCGCACGCGGAGTTGGCCGTTGGCTTTGGGCAATTTCTCAGCAAAATAAAAGGACACCAATAATTGTCAAGAAGTAAATTTATAATTTATAATGTTAACAAGTGAACTGTAAATATTTTTATAAATGTTTTTTAAATCTAAAAACATGTCAGGTCCTGGAAAACCCATCACTCAACTCATTTTTAAACCGAGTTTATTAAATTTTTTTATTTTTTTTCTTTTCATTTTCCCCACACCAAATGAGCTGTTGTATTTGTGCTTGTGAACGCACTGAAAGTAGAAAATCATCTCTTGAAGGACGAAAGAATCATTAAAAAAATTAACATGATAAGTTTTTGTTTACTAATCTTGGGTCGTTCAGCATTTCTTTTTCTTTTTTTTTTTCAAATGTCCTTAAATTATTGCTAGGAGACAAACTAGACTGGTTATATTTTAATAATGGGTCACCGCTATCAAAAGATTCGTTATCCCATAAGTCTCAAATATGACAAAAGATGTCACGTCAAAAAAAAAGGATAAAAGATGCATTATATAAATACGCCTGCAATTTTAAATATAAAATTTATTTTATAATATAAATTGTATTATAAAATAAGTTATCATAAAATAAATTTTATATTTATATTGGAGTATTAAAAAAATAACAGATTAGTGACTGGCATGTGGACCGACCAAGTTAAAATAATTATAGCTTCTATTCTATAAATTTGACAAAAGAAAAATGTGAATGTGACTGTATTATCTGAGATTTACATGGGCTGCTTATCAGTTTTGATTAGCACCCAATGCTCATCAGATCTGGACCGTTTAGATCTGATCTGGACAGTCCAGATTTATTTTTTTTATTTTTTAAAAATAATTATTGTAATAGGTATAGGATAAAAAATAAAGATAATCTTTTAACTATCATTTTTTTAAAATATAATTTTTTTTATTTTAAATAATTATTTAATAATATTAAATCTAGACAGTTCAGATTGCTCATCAGGTGATGAGCATTAGATGAGCACTGAGTAAACACCTAGTGCTTATCACCTAATGAGCACCGAATAGAAACCCCATTATTTGGGGCACCAGAATATCCTCCCCTGAGTTGAAATTTGGAAAAAAAAAATGTTTCCATTTGCTTCCATAAATGA